TGGGAGGAAGATGAGGCAATCTACTTCTGTAAAGATTTATAGCCTTGGAAACCAAATGGGGGTCGCTATGAGTCAGAATCTACTAGATGGCAGTGTGTTTGTTTATTTTTATGTTGTTGTTTATGTGGTCTTTTGGTGCCTTTTGAAAGATGATAAGAATCTAGATAATTAATTTCATGAATCACAGTCTCCCTAATGAGTTTTAAAGAATTGGAACAGTTTAAAAAGCAATCTATTTCCTTGAAGATTCTGACATTTTAATATTATTGTTTTTTAACTTTATGATAGAAAGAGGCAATAGTTAAATTTGTTGAAACATTGTCATTAATCTCAAAGCACTACCTTCCAGTGATCCTGACTGAGATGCTTTCCCAGTTTAAGATATCTGATTCTTCCATTCCTAGTTTGTGAAGAGTTTTTGTCATGAATGGATGTTAAATTTTATCAAATTACTTTTATCTCAATTTTATAATTTAGAATTAGGGAAGATCTTAAGTCTGACCTTTTAGTCCAGCTCTTAGTCACAAAAATTCTCCAACTGGGTGTTTTTCAATTTTCTGTATTTTTTTACAGTTCTTGAGGTCAAAATTTTGAATCAGGGTCTTGGCTACTTTGATTCCATCTGAGGCCTTTCTCCTGAGGGCAATCCTTTGCTTGTAGACATCCTCAGATTCTTTCCCCGCTGTATATGTCTCTGTGTTTATTTTCTTTTTTTTAAGATAATTATCATGCATTGCCTTTTCATGGTGACTGCATTTGATATGTGAAGTACTGGCTAGAGGACTGGGGTCAGTGGCTTCTGGTTCACTCTGATTCTTTTATCAGGGATGACTAATTTTTGCTAGTCCTTTTATGTTACTTGGTTTTATGATGGCTTCTCTCTTGTCTTTGCATTTATAGAATAATTATAGAATCAACATCTGCATCAGTTTGATGTTTTGGTCTCCTGCTAGCTAACATGCATTTTTTTTTTTTTCTATCATAATCTTTTCATGGTTAGATTATCTGATTAACTGGGTCTTATATCGAAGAGGGATGTTGATTTCTTTGAATGAACAAATATATGTTGTGATAACTTATTAAGTGATATAACCACATTTCATCCCATGTGCCCTGTCTCTATTCCCTGATATGGTACTTACTTTACATATAGATTGTACATACTACACACATCTTTGTACTGGGTATTAGCCAGACCCATGTAATCTAAGTCATGGGAGCCAGAATATCTGCATTTAAACATTCTCTCCAGTGATTTCTTAACCACTTAGTCACCACCCTAAGCTTTGTTTAATTAATTCAGAGGAATTAAATGCATGCCTCACTTATTACCATCAAGTCAGAGCCAACTCGTAGCAACCCCTCCTTGGATTTCTGAGGCTGTATCACTATAGAAGTAGATTGCCCACTCTTCCTTCCGAGAAGTGGCTGGTGGGTTTGAACCGCCAGCCTTCTGGTTAGCAGTCACATGCCACAGGCATTATGCCACCAGAGCAATCTAGCACTAAGGTGGAAGTATTTGTGGTTTTGAAAGCTGAACTTCATCCTAAGGGTTCAATTTCGTGGCCATAATCTGACAGTTTAGTTTTAGTTATTGCTTCTCATACCACTAAGATTTAGTAGCTGCTATATAATTAGGGAGTGATTGCCACGAACCCTTGAATTTTATTATAATTGCAAAGGTTCTTTGTCTCTTTGTGAGTCATTAGATGTTTTACAATCAACTGATGCTTTCTCTTAAATTATTTTTCTCAACACATACTTGTTGTAGCACTGTTTTTGTGCAATTCCTCATATGAGCTCCAATCTTCTTTGATTAGTAATGGAATCTGCTGCTAAAGTAACATTATTTTAACATTTTCATTAGTTATTAACATATCATAGTGATCAGGAATTATGACTAAAAGGTACCAAACACTAGTGGGTGGAAATCTCAGGAAAAAAAAATTTCTGTACAGTTTACATTATTAAGCAAAAACATTAATACTTATATCCTCATGTAAAATGTTAAAATTAGAGGGTAAAATCATTTGCAATTCAAAAAGATTCTTCATGCTAAAAAGGGATTTCAGGAACTTTAATCATATCTGCTGAAGTATTTAGTCATAATTTATAAAACCTTAAGAAGAAACTGAAATCTAGAATGCTTCAAACTATTGCTGATCATGTATTGATAAGAAATTAAGATGAAAACTGAATTTATAATATTAAATACAGAACATTTGCATGAATGATTGCTAAATTTTTGTTTTAACCAGACAAGAAGCTAAAATTATATATGACTGTCAAGCTCAGTACTAGATAACTAATGACTCTACCAATCATCCAAAAAGGCTGGGTTTTATTGATTTTAAGCCATTTACTTGATCCAACATCACCCTTTTTAGTAACTACTAGTAGGTACAGCTGTATCAACTTACACTAACACATAGACACAGGCCTTTAATTTTCAGTAGTTTCAATAAGTTTATAGGTACCTTGGCCACAGTCAATAGCAGAAGTATGCATAATCACAAACTCTGAAATTTCCTTTTCTGATCATTGCTCCCAACCTTTTACTTTTTCAATATATCAGTCCCATTTAATCCCACTTGTGTTTTTTTTTTTTTTTCCCCCAGGTTGATCGATTGTGATTTGGGTCAAAGTTTTCATTCAACAGTTCATACACATTTTGTTTCATGACATTGATTGCACTCTCCATAATGTAACAGCTTTCTTCCAACTCATAGAAACCCTATGTACAACAGAATGAAACACTGCCCAGTCTTGCGCCATCCTCACAATCCCTGCTGTGCTTTAGCCTTTCTTTATAGTCACTGTGCCAATTCATCTCAATGAAGGTCTTCCCCTTTTTCTCTGACCCTCCACTTTACCAGGCATGATACCCTTCTCCAGGGAATGGTCTCTTCTGATCACATGACCAAAGTAGGGGAAACGAAGTCTGGTCATTGCCACTTCTCAGGAGCATTCCAGCTGCACTTCCTCCAGGACTGATTTGTTCGTTCTTATGGCAGTCCATGATACTTTCAGTGTTTTTAACCAACACCACAATTCAAAGGCATCTGTTCTTCTTAGATGTTCCTTACTTATTGTCGAGCTTTCACATGCTTAAGAGGCTATTGAAAATATCCTGGCTTGGGTTAGGTACACCTTAGTCTTCAAAGTGACATCTTTGCTCTTCAACACTTTAAAGAGGTCTTTTGCAGCAGATTTGCCCAGTACAATACGACGTTTGATTTCTTAACTGCTGCTTCCCTATGTGTTGATTGTGGATCCAAGTGAAATGAAATCATTGACAAATTCAGTCTTTTCTCCATTTATCATGATGTTGCTTATTGGTCCAGTTTTGAGGATTTTTCTTTTCTTTATGTTGAGGTGTAATCTATAGTGAAGACTGTGGTCTTTGATCTTCATTAGTAAGTGCTTCAAGTCTTCTTCACTTTCAGCAAGCAAGGTTGTCATCTACATGTTGCAGGTTGTTGATGAATCTTCCTCTAATCCTGATGCCATGTTCTTCTTCATATAGTCC